CCCCCCCTGCCCCCTTCGTTACGCTTATCTGTCCATTCGCATAAGAGGCGTCCCTCTTTGTGCTCCGGTTTTCCCACGTGGAGGGGTTAGTTAGCTTTTAAAGTATTCCGCTTATTTTGAACTCACGTTCATTGTCGGTCATTTCTCCGACCTCGCTCGCAGTAATTGATATTCCGCTCGATCTCCAGCGCTTGTCCCAGTTGAATCAGCTTGTGCCCAAGGGCCACACAGTGGCAGGACCGTCAGGGCAGAGGGAAACCTCAATTCTCCGGCATTTAGCCGTCAAAGAGGCTGCCCCTCAAAAGCCCTATGGCCTGGAACCTATTGCAAAGGTTCTGTGTGAGTGCTACTTGAGGTAGCACCCCTCCATACCACTGGTGTGCAAGTCACTCCCCCGGGGTCAGGGGAGAACGACCGCCATCGCTGATCCACAAACCGGAACAGTAACACTCTGTTGATGTCTTAAGCAGGGCAAGTCATAATGGGCACCATAATCAGTGCAAAGCAGTACATACCAAGCAAGCAGTGCAAGCAGGGGAGACTGAGATGGATCAGATGTCCGCCACCTCAGCCAAAGTCCTGGCGGAACAGCCCCATTTTGCAGGCCCTGTGGAACTGTAATAAGTTAAAGAATCCTCACACTTTCCCCTACTTTGCTTCCTTCATAAGTTGACCAACACACCAAAATGTGTAGCTGGAGTGTACCTATGAGTAGAATTGGGTCAACCATCCTTGGAGGCTAAAGCTTGGCAACTGGCCTTCAAAATTTGTACCTTAAAGTGTGCTATAGTAACTCCAGATACCTATCTTTATTAAAAGCAGATTCTAATAAATCCTCTTGGTTCAAGATTCTTGACCCAAAACTCTCTCTTATTGGACTAAACTGAGACATTATTCAGGACCTGGAACCCGCAGCTGTTAAGTCCTATATCAAGAAGCATATCCAAGAAAGCGATTACTTGAACACATCGTCTTATTCTTGGGTAATCCTCCACCAAAATCACTGGCTTCCTATGCTTTTTATCTAACTATTCCAAATTATTTTAGTTTTCTTATTATCTCGACTGAATGCACAGCCAACTCTGGTTATGAAGGGAAGATTAAGAAAGATTCCTATTCAGACCACCTTTGTGATTGTTCTCAGGGGAAAATTGGTACTTTAATAATATCTTATTGGAGTATCTTCTTTATATTAGTCTTAGAAATAGGTTTTTAACACAGTACCTATATAATTTTTCATCTTTGTTTCATCACAAGCTAGTTTTACTCCTTGCTGTTGCAAGATTTTCCCATTGATTTAGTATTCTGTCTAGTTGATGCTACTTAACAGAAGGGTTTTTGACTGCTCAAGACTTTTAGTCAAGGAGCTTTAATCAGAATAAAGGAAGGGAAAGGTAAGGAATATTGTTGTAGTTGCCTAGCAACACCCCAAAGAGCCACAGAAACCTCAGACAATGTTAATTTCTTAAAGTTAGAGGCACTGCTAAGAAAGTTGGCCTTCCCCCAAGTATTTTTTTAGATTTTTTTTTGTTGTCAAACTGGGGTTTTTCTCAGGTTTGTAGAAAGTTCTCCTTTGTCGGTTCACGGACCTGATCTGTGGATTCAATCTGGCTCAGTTCTTCAGACTCCCTTCCTGAAAATAAGGGCTGTGGCAACGGTATGTGCCTCACACTTTCTACAGTGAACACAGAAGCAAAAAATTCACTGAACTTCTCTGCCATCTTCCCATTTTCCTTTAGCAATCCCTTGATTCCTTTGTCATCCAAATTTCCCACTTCTTCTCTGGCTGGTTTCCTGCTCCAGATATCGTTTTTAAAAATGTTTATTGTTTGTCTTGATGTTTTAGCAACCTGCTTCTCAAAATCTCTTTCTGCATGCCTAATTATTGACTTACATTTATTTCGTGAAAGTTGCTTGTTAACTATTTTGTGATTCAAAAAGTTTTACAACAGAGTACAAACAGCTGATCCATCATCACCCAAGCCCTCCGTTCTTCTTGGGGAAGTCAACAGTGCCTGGAGAGAAGACAATAACTATCCTCCTGGTCCCTGGAAGGCTGGACACTGTATAGACTGAAAAGTCTTACATACATGCCACTTCTCACCACATGCACAGTACAAACTGTCACCCAAACCTTTCCCCGCCTGCAGCTATGTACATGTTAACAGGGTAAACTCATACACATGCCAACATAATTAAAGAGCCGTGCTATAATCCAGTTACCCACAAAGCATGGGGGGAGAGAAAAGAGAGGGGGAAAGTACCATGTTATAAACTAGGGCATTATTATCAACAGAAATCCAGCAAGAAAATATATAAATATACTTACATTTGTTTAAAAAGGTGTCTATGTTTTTATTTTTCCTTAAAGCAGGAAAATCCAAGTCATACACCAGTGCATCTAATCCATCCTGAAAAACAAAATTGAATGATTTCTTAATAAATTATGAATTATATTCTGATTTTACTACGTACTACAATATTCTATGCATGGCTCGATGAGGCTGTGGGCTATGACATGGAGGGCCACCCAGGATGGACAGGCCACAGCAGAGAACTCAGACCAAGCGTGATCCCCTGGAGAAGGAAATGGCAAACCACTCCAGTATTTTTGCCAAGAAAACCCCATAGACAGTATCAAAAGGCTAAAAGATATGACGCTGGAAAATGAGCCCCTCAGGTCGGAAGGTGTCCAATATGCTACTGGGGAAGAGCAGAGGGCAAGTACAAGTAACCCCAGTAAGAGTGAAGCGGCTGGGCCAAAGCCGAAAGGACGCTCAGTTGTAGATGTGTCTGATGGTGAAAGGAAAGTCCGATGCTGCAAAGAACAATACTACATAGGAACCTGGAATGTAAGATCTATGAATCAAGGTAAGCTTGACGTGGTCAAAAATGAGATGGCAAGACTGAACATCGATATCCTAGGAATCAGTGAACTAAAGTGGACAGGAATGGGCGAATTTAACTCAGAAGACCATTATATCTACTACTGTGGCCAGGAATCTCGTAGAAAAAATGGTGTGGCCTTTATAGTCAACAAGAGAGTGCAAAAGGCAGTACTGGGATACAATCTCAAAAATGACAGAATGATTTCAGTCCGATTCCAAGGCAAACCATTCAACATCACAGTAATGCAAGTCTATGCCCCAACCACTGATGCAGAAGAGGCTGAAGTGGACCGGTTCTATGAAGACCTACAATACCTCCGAGAACTAACACCAAAAAATGATGTCCTCACCATCATAGGAGACTGGAATGCTAAAGTAGGAAGTCAAAAGGTAACCGGGAATAACAGACAAGTTTGGCCT